ACGAGATATTTGAAGTGGTTCAACTCTCCTCTATGGTCAAGTCTCCCGGACTCCCCCTATATATATATACAGTTCTTGCTAACAGTTAAACTTTCAATAAAAGAACACTTTGCACGTAGGTATGTCAAACAACTCAAAAGTTTTTATATGTTAGAAGGGATTACCGTTAACAGTTTAAGTATGATTTTTTGTTATTTAAATAATTAGTATTGTTTAAACAATTAAAAAAATTGTTTTGTTGCAAAAAATTTTGAAACTTAAAATACAATATCAATGATGTATGTTTTACACATAAAAAAAGTTTAAGAAATATCTTAATGGTTTATTTATATTTTATTTATATTTATAGCAAAAATGTCGATTCTCTATAAGGGATAATGTTAATTTTATCAACTTTAAACTTAAATAATTCTTAAATAACTTCTAAATTTTACAGAGTATTTTTAATTTAATTTAGAAACAATTTCCCCGGTAGGAAACGCCGATACTCGAGAAACGGGCCAAGACTGGCACGAGTGTCGGCTTGCCGACGTTTAATGCCCAAGCCTGGCCCAACTATTACCCGAATTTGGGTAGCCGAGGCTTGGCAAGCAAGTGCCGCCCAATATTGGACCAAAGCTTAATAGCCAGTCCTTATTCTTTATCATTATTATTAGATTTACAATTTTTTTTTTGAAAAAATAATTAAAAAAATATAATTTTATAAAAAAATTCATGATGAGCCGGCACTGGTTTCTGACATTCACCCGACATTGAGAAATATTATATCATATATCTAATTCAAAATTTTATTACTCTTTTTAAACTGAATTTGTTTCTTAAGATGATTTTTGAAAAATTATATATTTGCGCTGGTTATGACATAAGTAGACTGAACGGGGATAGTTTCGCCCCGGAGACAAGATTTGCGATATTGTTACTCGAAGGACCAGAGGGGTTGTCGATTTCCCCTCACGACTATCAAATGTTTAACGCGAAGGCAGAAGCGCATGCAACGAAATATTAAAGCGAAGCGACTCACCGTGTCGGCCGTCGTCCCCGTGATTCCGCCAGTCCTCGTCCTGTCCTCTGAACTTGGCCGCTCCGTGGGTCTCGTTCGGCATGCGATGGCAAAACTCGTGCAAGCAAGCAAACGGTGGAGAGCAAGCAATAGAGCAGGCAGGAAAAGGCAGTAGGAGACGTGCGCACTCCCGGTTGAGCAAGGCGGCAAAGGCGATTCCGTGGTGCGTTCTGCCCGGCGAACGTGTGCCGTAAGACGGCTCTCAGAATATGTGTGTGTGTGTGTGTGCCGCACGGCGGCTTGACGAAAAAGTGATGAGAGGTGTGTCCTCTCCTAATACTTGACGATGAATGTGTTCTCCCCGCGGTCCTGGAACATGTCGCTGCGGGCGAGTAGTTGTTCCCTTTCCGGGGGGGTGGATACCGTCGGCGGATGGGCGATGGCAGCACCGACAGGTGAGTTGTAAGTATTTGGTACCGCAGGAGGTCGATTATGCCTCCGGGTGTCGGCCTACTACCGACGTCTTGATGAGAGGTATCGAGGAATAATTACACACTCGATTACTGCTGATAATAT